AATTTTTGGTTATTATGCCACTGAATGTTGGAAGTATTTAACTTTTCATTTGTATGGGGGCTCACAGCTGAGAATTTGCCTTACACCTAAGAGGAGACTTGGGACTTGGACTTTTCAGCAATGCTGAAACTGTTAGAACTTTGGCAACTCTTAGAGATGGACTAAAATGTCTTTTTGCATAAAGGGATGTACATGAGTCTTTGAGGGGCCAGGGGCAGAATGTTATGGTTTGTGTCTGGGTGTCCCCCCAAAGCCTCATGCAGTCATGGGGCGAGCTTCTAGAGTTTATGATTGATCCATGATCCAATGTTGGAATTATGGGTGTGAGTGCTACACTCGCCCTGGGGCAGGTAGTTTGCATACAATATAAGAGAGGGAAAGAGCCTCACTCTCTGCAGCTCCTCCCTTTTTGCTGTTGTTGCTTTTGCTCTTTTCACCACCATGAACTGTTGCCCTGTGCCATGTGCCACTCTGCTTTGGAGCCAGCCAAGTATGGCCTGAAACCTCCGCAAACTGTGAGCTAAATGAACCTTTCCTCCCTTAATTTTTGGTGTCAGGTATTTTGTCTCAGCAATGAGAAAAAAGTAACTAAGACACCCTTTCAACCTAGCCATGACAATCAAACATGTCTCCAGCCACTCAAAGCTACCCCTGGCTCAGGACCACTGTGTTAGACATAAAGACAGCCCCTGGCTTCTAGTTGTAATTTTTGTTTTATGTTCCTTATGAACAGTCAGCCCGTATGAACAGTTGGCCCTTAAAAGCCTGGTACATTCTCCGATGTGGCGCCAGCTCCTCGGATCTCCTCAGATTCTGATTCCTGGTTACCTCTGAGCTGACCAAGTGAGGGAGGGGTCTGGAGCAACCAGTTCCTTCCTGTCCATCGGGGCCCCACGTGCATCAGGCATTCTGATCCTTTAGATCTTCGTTTAGAACATTTACCTCTTAATGATATTTATAATAGCCATAGATAATAAGGTAGACAGAAGCAGTAAATCAAGATAGAAAAACAGAGTTTCGCAGTAAATGGAAATCGTAAGAAACGTTCCGCACCAGCAAGCGCCTCCTGTCAGAGGCTCATGATTCCGAGTAATCAGCAGCAAGATGTTTCTTTCTTACCTTTTTACCTCAGAGGACTGGCTCTAAGTGCTGATGCATGGGAAGGAAGTGTTTGTTTTTGTTGTTCAGTTTTCACAAACGCGTCATGAAGTGTCATTAGACTGCGGCCTCCTATTCACGCAACTTTCACCTGTAACTTGAAAACCTTCGAAACGTTCATTAGCAGATGCCTTGACGAGGTTACAAGCCTTCTGCCTCATAGTCTTACCATATTAGTCTGAAGCTATTGATGAGAATCATGAAATTATGTTCACCGTGGTCTTCTCCTCATAGGGAAACAATTTAAAATGCCAGTGCATTGGTGCCCTGAGATGCACCTGGCGAAGCAGGCTGAGCAAATGCTCTCAAACGCTCTCAAATGGGAGGTGGCTGGGGGCTCCCTCCTTCCATTCTTCACTTCAACCCTAAGAAGCAATTAACACTGGCCAGACCGCTGACTGCTGAGTTGTCCCAGGTTCAGTTCTTGGAATTTCTGTCTCTCTTGCTTTCTAGGAAACCTTATGACTCCTCTGGCTGTAAATACCGAGTCCAAGTGTGTATCTTTAAACCTAGACTCCTCTGAGATCCAGATTTTTACACCCAGCATCTCCTCCATATTGCACTTGACTCTCTGGGGTCTAACTCCTCCCCACCAATCCCCTGCCTTCTCTCTCCCAGACTACAGCTCCACCTCGTACATTTGCATGTCCCAGTTACTCAGGTCACACACATTGGGATCGCCCTTCTCCTTTCTCTTTCACTGTCACCTCACACGTGATCAAGAAACCTCGGCAGCTCTTCTGCTCGTGGATTTCAGGGTACTTCCAGAACCCAACCACTTCGCACCCTTGTACTGCCAACTCCAGATAAAATCACTTTCATCTGAGCCTCCACATCTGCCCCGTCCCCCGGTCTGCTCTCATCACAACACCCAATGGGATTATCTGAAACTCAAGTCGTAGGGTAGTTCTCTTCCGCACAATTTCCCGGTGGCTCCCCAAGACCTACCACACACAAGGCCTGATGTGATCCGGTCATGCTGCAACTCGCGGCAGTCTGCCCACTGGCCTCCTTACTCAGGCTGTGAGGCTGATCGTTCTCTGTCACACTCTCCCACGGAAACCCTCGTGTGCGGCACCTGCATTCCTCTTCTCTAAGGAGACTGAGCACATCCCTGTACCCTCATCCTGAAGTCCATAGCCCTTGTTCTGCTTCATCTTGGAAAACACTTCTCATAAAGAAACATGTGTACTATATATATTTACTGTGCATATATATGTAAGTAGATGTGTGTATATGCACACATACACATATATATGCATTTGTATCTATATATAATGCACACATATATATGTATATATGCATAACACACATATGTATTTGTATGTATTTATAATATGCACAAATATATATATATATATATATTTGTTTGTTTGTTAGTGCAGGAATTAGCAAACTATGCCCCAAGACCAAATCTAACCCTGGCCTGTATTTCTATAGACACAAAATAAAAGTGGTTTTTATGTATACTATATGTGGTACATACACACGCAATATATGTAACTTTTATAGCATATATAATTTTGTGCAGATCTGAGGCTTGAACCTAGGGCCTCACATTAAGGTCTAGCCCCGCCTTTTTGTTTCAGAAAGTCGCTACATTGCCCAGGCTGGGCTCAAAAGTGATCATCCTTCTTCAGAGTGCTGGGGTTATAGCCGCGTACCACCGTGTCCAGCTGGTTTTTATATTATTAAAGGATTGTAAAACAAAAGGAAGGGAGAAAAAAATGAATGAACGAATGAATATGCAACTGAAATCTGTATGGAGTGCAAAGCCCAGAATAGTTTGCATCTGGCCTCTGCAGGAAAAGCTTCCTGTTCCAGGGTTACTGTGCTGTGTCCTCCATGGGGACAGAGACTTTGTCGCATCCCTAGCACACAGAATGGTTCTGGTGAAAGTAGATGCTAAAGCGTTTTAAATGGATGAGTGACTAAAGGACGATAATGAGCCTTGGTGAAGTCTAAAGATTTAGGATGACCCAGGAAAATAGCAGATAAACCGGAATTCAATCCTTGGTCTGCCTTATTCCATAGACAGGTCCTGAGGCCCAAGGGCTGTTTGCAGCATGGTTTGAACCCCCCTTATTTTATAGCAAAAGGGTCCCCAGTGCAGACTGCCAATCACACGCATACTAGGAAGACACCCTGTGAGACAGGGAATAAAGGAGTGACACTAAATGTGAAAATGCATTCCGTAATTTAGACCAACCATTTTCCATGTGTTTTCACATGCATTATCTCTTTTAGTTTCACCCAATGTCTATATAAAGCAGGGTAAGTGCTATTATTCTCATTGAACACATATGAAAACAGAGTTTCAGGAAGGCATAAGGAAGGCTGTCGTAAGTAGTGAGTGACAGAAACAACAGAATCCAGATCTATCGCATTTAATAGAGTTTTTCACTCTACCGGAGTAGATCAGCATATATCCCCACCACTCTGAGGATAGATAAATGTGCTACTGTGGACCTGGAGGAAGTTTAACAGAATGCAGTCACACCTCAGTAACTTCTAAGAAAGAGGGGTACTACATCTCACTCGGAGTTCTGGGAGAGATGAGAGAATCTTCTCACCTATAAATGGCCACCTACTACCACAATAGCCAAAGGCAACATCAAAGTCAGAACTTCAACGCTGACATAATGAGCAAGAGAAAGGCCGAATAGATCACATCGTGGGCTTTCATTGTTGTGACAATGGTACAGGATTTTGGAGCTGCCAGGCCCGTGACCATTTCAAGAACGCAGGCAAGAAAACTGACGAGTGTGTTAGCTGACACGAATGCCCGCAGCTGTCACCTCCTGGACCAGCTGCCGTATCTAATCAGCCATCCTCCGAGGCAGCTGACTTTGGAGCTTAGTGTATTTGGCTGTGACACTACGTGTGTTCCCTGGCTGCCAGCCTTGGTAACCGTGTGGCCGCCGGTGGCTGTTTTTATGTAGGATAAAGGTCAGGAGGATGCCCCCTGGAGCTCGCGGACGCTGATGTTTTGCTGTATGCCCCTCAAGACACCAGCTCAGAATGTTGCAGCGGTCCAGGTGCAAATGTGTCAGTCTGTCTTTATAATTCCCCTCTACTTTATCAGGACATGTATGCCGGTTCTCCTCCCAGAAATGGAGTCTCTCTAAACAGCAGCCGCTGAGGCTGCGGGGCGACATTTGACCCCTCTCCCCGTCTTCTCACGTGACTCACTAGGACCTGGCAAAACTCTTCAGAAACTTAAAGTAGTCTCATTCTCAGTGTTGAGATATGCAGGGATTTTATGTATGAAACTACTATGATAATAAAATCAAGTTTAGCAGTTATACTATTTTTCCAAATTATGTGCAGATGAATAAGAAAAAGTGACAAACTACATAACTACAAATGTATCATTTCTTTTAGTTCAACTTTAAACTTAAATCTCCTTATAAAGCAAATTGTTCTGTTTCATCTGGAAATAACAGTAATAATTTCAGTTAATAACATTAATGATTTCATTAATAATTTCAGATGGGTTTAGGGATATAGCTCAGCAGCACAAGTGCCTGCTGACAAGTGCAAGGTCCTGAGTTCAATTCCCAGCAGCAAAACACAATAATAATAATAATAATTCCAAAGAAGAAAACAGCAAAGAAAATACTTTGCCTGAGAAGTCCTTGTGTCTAAAAAAAGGCTGGGATTGAAAATTATTCAGTCAGGTGTTAGATATACCTTAAGTGTGACAGTGGGTGTGATCTTAGAAGCAGCCTGGCCACTTGCATGCAGTATTCTAGAAAAAGTCTGTAAGTGGGGAGATACGGTTGAGAAGCCCGGGGATAGAGTATGTTAAGCAACACAAAGTGCATCTTTTTCGTTGTCAGGCTTGAGAAAGAGATCCAAGATCTTGAAAAAGCCGAACTGCAAATCTCAACCAATGAAGAAGCAATTTTAAAGAAACTAAAGTCAATTGAGAAGACAACAGAAGATATCATAAGAGTGAGTCTGAGCTAAATTTTAAACCATAATTCCCTCCCAAATTAATCCACCAAGAATGTACTTTTTCAAAGTATTACCACATTTTTGGATTTTATTTCTCTAAACTGAATTAATCATGGAGATTTTTTTTTTATAGTCTGTGAAGATAGAAAAGGAAGAAACATCAAGAGGTATGTTTTTGAGAAGCCAGATTTCATATTTAACTAAGAGGTTTTTTCGATAAATGCTGAAATTTTTTTCATTATTATAAATATGTCCTTAATATATTTTGAATTCATGTCGATTTTACAGAATCAATTGAGGACATCTATGCTAATATTCCTGATCTTCCAAAGTCTTACATACCTTCCAGATTAAGGAAGGAAAAAAATGAAGGACTAGAAGATGATGAACAAAATAGAAAAGGTATATGGGAAATCTGTGTTCAATGACTAGCATGTTCTCGATTTCAGATTTTACGAAGTCATATATTCACAACTTGCAAAAACATGTTACACTTCCAGGTTAAGCAATGGTCCATTTTACAAAATTCCACACGATATATGAGCTGGGCATGGTGGTGCATGCCTGTAATCCCAGCACTCAGGAGGCTGAGGCAGGAGGATCACTGTGAGTTTGAGAACAGCCTAGGCTCTAAAGTGAGCTCAAGGCCAGCCTGAACTGCATAGCGAGACCCTGTCTCAAAAAGACAAAAAGAAAAAATGTGAGTCACTTGCATTGGTAGAGACAAGGGGTTACAGTATTTATGCTGTGTATTTTATTCCCCACCAACCTAGTTAAGAACAGGTAATTAAAGACCTGTAGAGACAAGAAGTTCTTCAAAGAGAAACTTCCCTGGTCAAAAATATCTCTTCTGACACATTTCATCCAGGAGATGCTCTTTTGGGTTACTAAAATCCTTTAAAAAAAAAAAAAGAAAGAAAAAAGAAACTATTCCCTTGGGAATGTTAGGCATTATCTACCCTCAGTGGGGGACTTATTCTTGTAAAATTCATTTTTGAGACACAAGCATGAAAAGTCAGTCAGAACATAAAAAACTGTGAGCATTAACTGTTCATTTCAATACACCATCAGACAACAGCAATACAGTTATCGCAGCTATTCATATATATATTTATGTTTTTCCTTCCTTCTTTCCTTTTCTTCTTTCCCTCATCCCAGTCGTTCCTTCCTTTCAGCAATTTCTTTCCCTTTCCTATCATCTATTGTTCATTTTGAGTTTTACCTAGTCTTTCAGGTTCCTACACCAAGGAGACAATGTGATGTTTACACATGTGGGTCCGATTTATTTCACTTATGAGTATGGTCTCTAGTTGCATCCATTTACCTACAAAAGCCTCAAGTTTATCTTTTTTAATAGCTAATACTCCATTGTATAAAAATACCACAGCCTTTTTATCCATTCCTCAGTGGATGGGCATCTGGGTTGTTTCCAAGATTTAGCTATAACAAATTGTGCTGCTATAAACATGGATGCACATATCTTGCTGTGGTATGATGTTTTTAACTCTTCTGGGAAAATACCCAGAAGGGGAATAGCTGGGTTAAATGGGACTTCCAATCATAGTTTTGTGAGGAATCTCCAAACTGATTTCCACAGTGGTTGCACAAATCTACACTCCCACCAGCAGTGGAGTAGAGTTCCTTTCTCCCCACAGCCTTTCCAGCATTTGTTATTGGTTGATTTCTTGATGATAACCATTCTTTCTGGGGTGAGATGGAATCTCAGTGTTGTTTTAATTTGCATTTCTCAAATGACTAATGACATTGAACATTTCTTCATGTATTTATTCACCATTAGGATCTCTTCATTAGAGAAGTGTGTATTCATCTCAGATGCCCATTTTTGGATGGGGTCTTTCAATTTAGGAGGCCTGATTTTTTTTAATTCTTTATATGTCCTAGATACAAGTCATTTGTCTGAGGGGCAGTCAGCTAAAATTTTTTCCCACTTCAAGGGTTTTCTTTTTACTTTATTGGTGATTTCTTTAGATGTGCAAAAACTTTTCAATAAGATGAGATTCCTGTTGTTGATTCTTTGAAGGATTTCCGGTGCAGTTTGGTTTTTGTTCATGAACTCTCTGCCTACCCCAATGGCGTCAAGATTTAAAAAAAGAAAAAAATTCATTTTTCAAAGCTTCTGGAAGCATGGAGGTTTACATTAGAGGAAATCTCTGGATTTTAGATTAGAATGGATTTTAGATGTTAGCTACTATGCAGGTAACATTCACTCACTCACTAATATTTAGTGAGTATCTAATTTATGCCAAACTCAGTAAGGCACAGATGAGACCTTCAATAAATATATCACACTGAGGGATGAAATGCAGAGGAGTAGAGCACATAGGTGGGACAGGGAGAGTGTGGGGAAGGGGTGTTGCAGAGGCCAAGTCCATCGGCAAGAGAAGCGTATGAAATACACTGGCACCTTGGTTCACAAACACTTTTGTTCTCAAACAGTTTGGTTTACAAACAAAAGTGCTTGGCAAAATACTGGTTTTGTCTGCAAACTCTGTATCAGGTGACCAACAGTTCAGCTATTTTTCCCATGCAAACACACACATTGCCATCTTTTCCAAAATCGTAGAACAATTTGAGTTCCTGAACCAAGGTACTACTGCACAAGATGAATTTTAAAAAAAAAAAAAATGAAAGGGTGCAAAATAAAAACAAGCATTGCTACACTGTAATTTTGCACAGAACCCTTTCTCTTTAAAATTCTAGCCCCAGGAGTCTTGCCTGGGTCAGAAACAGATATCAGATTTCCCCAAATCCCCCGGTTACCTCCGGTTATATTGCTTCAGCACAGCTAATTTTGCTTTATTTTTAGCTTTCCCTCTACTAAAAGCGGGTGTAAAAATGGGGAGAAGCATAAGGCAAGAAGAGAAGTATATGATTTTAGCCTTCTGCCACCCTTTCTGCACCGGTTCTATATTTAAACTGTAGAACACGTCTGTAGAATTTCAACAGGCGGCTGGTCTGTGCAGGAGGGATGTTAACTTAATAAGATGTTCCGTCCTGGGCATTTCACCTACCCAGACTTATCCCTCCTTCCTCAAGAGGAGATGGACTGAGTAGCACAAGAGTGCAAATCTGCCTTGCAGGATTTATTAATCGGCAAGCATATATCTTTTGTGTCTCCTGTGAAGTTTTCCTACCTGAATCCATCTGTTTCCTGGTACATTTTAGACACGCATGAGGATCACATTCCTCACAGGGAATCTGCACCTGTCAGCTTCCTTTAAACTGACATTTCTTCACTCCCTAACATTTTTCAAACATTTCACACGCTGTCACCTGAAAACCCGTGATGTTGCGGCGTTATTACAGTACCACACAATTAGTGAGAAAGATCAGAACTTTTTTGAATCTCATATAAAAGAATAAAAACATCAAAAAGTATAAAACACCATGAAAGTGGGCCGGTTTATAAATGAAATTCAATTCAATCAGAGATCAAATTTGTCTCTTCACAGCGTTATATGCCATGGAAATTAAAGTCGAAAAGGACTTGAAGACTGGGGAAAGTACAGTTCTGTCTTCAATACCTCTCCCGTCGGAAGACTTCAAAGGTACGGGAATCAAAGTTTATGACGATGGACAAAAGTCAGTGTACGCAGTGAGCTCCGATCACAGTCCACCCCACAACGGCACTGACGGCCTGGCACCAGTCGAGGTGGAGGAACTGCTAAGACAAGCGTCAGAGAGAAGCTCTAAGTCTCCGACAGAATATCATGAGCCTGTGTACGCCAACCCATTTTGCAGACCCACAGCTCCACAGAGAGAAAAGACAGCACCCGGACCAAACTTCCAAGAAAGGATAAAGGGGAAAGCCAATGGACTGAGCGATGACATCAACGACTCCGTACTCAGGATGGACAATGGACTCTCAGAACAAAGAAGCAACAGCTTCCACCACATCAGTCCCATTCAGCCAGCACCTCACCCCCGCTCGATGACTCCACAAGCAGAAGAGAGGTCCCACACCCGACAGAAGATGTTGGTGACTCCTTGGGAAGAATCCAATGCCCTTCAGGACAAATACGCAACTTCTCCAAAAGCTAGACTGAGCCCCAGCAAAGCCCCACTGGGGAAGTCGGATCCCCACTGCTCTTCACCCACCAGCCAAGAGGACGAGGAAGATGTTAGGTATAATATCGTCCATTCATTGCCTTCTGACATGGATAACTCAGAGCCTGTGACCATGATTTTCATGGGGTATCAGCAGGCAGAGGACAACGAGGAAGACAGAAAACTTCTGACAGGGTACGATGGGATCATCCACGCCGAGCTAGTGGTGATTGATGACGAGACAGAGGAGGAGGACGGAGAAGCTGAACGGCTGTCCTACCACCCCGTGGCTCCCTGGCGCCAGGTTTACCAGCCGCCCAAACCCACCCCACTTCCTAGAAAAAGACCCGAAGCGAGTCCGCATGAAAACGCAAACCACAAATCCCCCCACAAAAATTCCATCTCTCTGAAGGAACAAGAAGAAAGCTTAGGTGGCCCCGCCCACAGTTCTCCAATCGATGTCCCCACGGTTGGAGATGGGACTGAGGATCCGTCTTTAACAGGTAATAAAGACTCAAAGGCGTGCCGCTGTTGTCTAGTCATGTGACAGTCTTCTCTCTGCGTTAGCAAACCCTCTTGCTTGCGGCTTACTTGACCACCTTATAAACTAATGCATACTGGGAGTTTTTATTAACGCTGATCTGAATTATCACCATAGCAATTAAGTCACTTCAAAAGATAAAGAAAGTGAAAAGAAATTGTTGCCTTATCTGGATATTGCATTGATTGACCTTAGTAACCTGAGGTGCATCTTCTGTCAGGACGCAGCACTGTGTATGAATGTATTTGGGTTATTAACATATTAGATAATAATGTCCCTTTTCCCACCGAATCTGATAACAACTCCTTGTCTGTACCTGACTGTGATTTCAACTTTCTATATAAGTTAACAGGTGGCCTTAATTTTGCAAGAAAATGCAAGGAACAAATATTATTTTTAGAGTACTTTATTACTCTGCTATATCTTGTTTCTCTATACTTTTATAGTTTTATTAACTTTACACCCTTAATTTTTCTACATTTTTAAAAATCAGATGTCAGTTTATTTTATGTCTGCATACTTTTCTCTACCTTAGCATATTTATTTTTTGTGTTTTCTATATATTTGCATTCCTCATTCCCTATACAGAATTTTATGGCTGGCTAGCTATTTTAACATTGAATGAAAAATAACAAACACTTTTTTCTGTTGAAGTGATAGCTCCTCAATTTTAGATTCCTTGTTATCACTTAATATTATATTCTAGTTATCATGAATGACAATTAAACAAAAATCTGACAAAATCAATTAGAATAGCTCTGCTTACCTTAGCTCAAGATGCTTGATGTTTGTGAGGGAGAGCAATTTTAAATATCTTTACTTGGACAGTTATCATTAAAGAGCAATAAATGGTAATTACCAGCCGATTCAAAAGATAGAACCTGATCAATCTGTAGAGAAAGATAGCAACTGTAGAAGTCAAGCTGTTTCATCCTCAGGAAGCCAGAATCTCAATCTCCAGTTGCTAATAACACAATAAAATGGACCTTTTTTGTTCTTGTAAGTAGTTAAGTTGGGGACACTAATTGTAGATATAATTATCTGAGGAATGCCTAACTTCTTAGGAAGCATCCACTTATATATCTTCCTCAATCAGAGTTGAGCAAGGTGCCCCACAGTGGAAGTCCGCAGAAACTAAGCTCTTTTCCACTTGGGGAATGAGCTTTGTTTGCTGATCAGAATCTGCATTTGAAATTCATTTTTAAAACAACATGAAAGGCTTAGGAAAGAGAAAAATATTGTTTGTATCAACAGCAGTGACCTCACACAGCATAAAACCTCTTCTTAACTTGGATGCGAGCCAGCTCCTCCCACACACGCTTGTTCCTTGTCCCCCAGCCATGTCAACACATTTACCCCAAGAAAAATGACAGGAAGTGACTAACATTTTCAGACAACACTTACCATGCCATTGAACTACAGTAATGAAAACAGGAAGACCTATTCCAGACCAAGTAACAATACAGGTTTCTGTACTATCAGCCCAAGTGTCTTATAAACAGAAAGCTCCAAATTCTTTGCCTTCTACCATGATACTGTTTCACGTCCTTGTTTTCCAATTCAGCGCATGGAGTGCAAAGCTGAAATGTTCGTTTAAATGAGTTTTAAAAGTAATCATATTGTAATATGCTCCCAGGGGCCATCCACACACATAGGACACACAACCACCTACGTAGTTCAATTTCACAAGCACAAAGTAAATTGAGTGTATCACCACGTCCCCTCACAAAAAAACATTTATGATATTTGAAAACTCATTATTTAAGTTAATTCCTTTGTTTATGTCTCCTATTAAATGGGAATAGTTCTACTAGGCATAATAGTTAAGAATTGTTAGTCTCATTTTCCTTGAAATGAAAATTAATTAATTAATTTTTAACTTGGAAAACAGAAGGAAAAAGGAAGAAAGATGGAAAATATGGAACCTGGGTATTCTAAAGACAAGATTTATTTAGTTAAAATTTTGAGTAGGGCAAGATATGACAGGAAAAGATTGGCAGTCTTGTGTCCATCTGCTAATGAAATATCACACTGTCATGTTCTAAGGTTTAACTCAATGCTAAACTCTTTCTTGCTGTGGGGCCCCAGTGAGCTTTTGCAGGGACCCCTCTGCTACCTCCACCCACCACCATCTAGACACCCGGTTTTCTTTGATGGTTGTCCCACACCTCTTCTTTTACCTCTAGCTTGAGTCTGTCCTCCAGAAAATCCAGCTCGAGTCTGTCAGTGGTATCTTGGGATAAAGATATGAGAAACCTCAGCTCTGGGGGATTCACATGCTACTGGTGCTGAGATTACCAGTTTATGTCAGCCCATAGAGGACAAGAAATACTTGGAAGAGAAAAGCTCTTTCGCACCAGCTTCGGGTAACTAAAACTTTGTGTCTGAATTGCTTCAGAGAGAGGAGGCAGCGGGCAGAGAAGAGAGGTCAAAAGGAGAACAGGTGGTCTGAGTTTTTAGCCTACTGCACCTATGGGCCTTGCATTGCCAACGTACTCAGTCCTCGTCCATCTACCTGGAATCCCTATCATTTACACTAGCGGTAGCTTGAAGAAAGGAGACAGAGGAAAACAGACTCTAACAAACTTCACGGAATGTCTTGGTGCACAAGGTGCGCTGAGTTACAGAATCTTAAATTGAGGAATAACTGCAGAAATGAAGCGCAACTGTAAGAATGGGGGGTCACTGCAGGAAAGAGGATTTTGCTCTGCCTTCACATAGTCCCTGAAATTAGGGACTTATTCCAGCTCTCTTCTGCCATTGGCAAGGTAAGAGTCCACAGAATCCAAGCGTAGAAGCTCCCTGCAGCCGTGCGTTCTGCCTTCTGTTACTTCCTACCGTGGAATGACAGGACTTTCCTTAGGGCTCACCATGCACACTCCCAGCGAGAGAGACCATCCCGCTCACTACAGACCAAAGCAAATCCTCTCCTTCGGTCCTGAATGCAAAGAAATATTTTTGACCCTGTCCCTGGAAAGGGTCACTCTTCCCAAAGCTTCAAGTGAAATAATGCTTTTTAACTTCATTGAAATGAAAATATTTTCAATAAGTAAAGTGACAGTAATGATCACACACTTGTTACAAAGTGGATCCCCACCCCTTCTCATATCTGTACAAAAGGGCTTCTTAGAGACAGGGTCACTTCCTTTAGTAACAGATAACCCAATATGTGGCAGAGAAATGAGAGAACGTGGCTTCCCATTATTGTTTCATTAAACAAACTTGTGCAATTAGCAAAGTCGTGATTCTTGAGCCATATTACACAGGAACATAATATTACACCATCAGTATAAACGTTAGATCAGTGCCTGGAAAGCAGCCCCCAATTTTTGGAATAGAACTAAAGCAGCTATACTCTGAAGTCATAAACGTTAAGGCATGATACCAGAATACCAAAGAAGTGTTATAAATCCTACATCTAAACTGGGCATGGTGGTGCACACCTATAATCCCAGCACTCAGGAGGCTAAGGCAGGAGAATCAAGATTGTTAAGGTTGCAAGTTCAAGACCAGCCTGGGCTACAAAGTGAGTTCAAGGCCAGCCTGAACTGCATAGTGAGACCCTGTCTCAACAAACAAAAAAATCCTACATCTATATTTTTAAAAATGCTTTCTCTAAACCATGTACCATTAATAGTAGAATACACTCAAAAAGGAAACATTTGCCTTTTGTAGGCGTATTTATATCTTGACAAAAACAATTGATATTCAGTCCAGCTCTTAATTAGTAGCTGACATTGTTTCATACATAAAGAAATTTGCTTTTGTCCTTGTATATCCAAAAGCCAGATTTCTTTTGGAAAACAAAGTTTAATGAGCTAAAAAAAAAAAAAAAAAAAAAAAAAACAGGAGGGGGGCCCAAGAGCTAGAAAATGTGCTTCATATAATACAAGTGCCTGCCTGGCAAGCGCAAGGTAATGAGTAGACATAAAAAAAAAAATTTAATAAAAAAAAAAAAAAAAAAAAAAAAAAAGAAGACCCATTCATGAGTATACTTTAAGTGTCAATATCTTTTTTTTTCTAGTGGTACGTACTCATAGCTCAGAAATCTACACAAAACACAGTCACTGATCTCTAGGAATGTGTACCTATAGCTAACAGTGAAAATATGCACTCATCCTATATCTGTTCTGATTGTACTGTACTTGCTCTACTGATTTCCAATCTGTATAGAAACAGGCTTCTAGTTTTGAACCTGCTTCTGCCCCAAGTTAACCATAGCCTATTATTTCTGCTTTTTGTGCTACTAAAACAATGCTCACATTGTCGGACAAACCCATCTGAGGTATGTTCTAAACTTTCCTGCATTCTATGAAATGGTCCTTTTGAGGAAAACTTAAGGCTCTTTTTCATAATCTCTCTATATTTTTTCTTTGATTTGCAGCTCTAAGGATGAGGATGGCAAAGCTGGGGAAAAAGGTGATCTGAGGGCTGTGTTACCCATGCAAACATTCTTTGGAGAAGAAACTAAAGAACATCTGCAAATTTCTCTGCTGGATATTTTTGTCTCTTTTTCCTGGAACCTAAGAAATTCTAATTACACCCATATTAAGCCGTGTAAATAAGTAGTAGTTGTTATTTGTGAAAAATTCCAAAAACTGGGAAAACCAAATACTAAACCTTTCCATGTATTTGATATGATTCATTGGAGGGAAAAACCAGCATATTTTTACTGTATTGATACCAAAGCATTTCTAATAAGAGCTTGTTACATTTAAGAATAAAGTTATTTAAAATAATCTGACTATATTATATCAACTGTCATTCAAAATTGAAGGATCATGGGATGCTCTTGCACTTCATCCCTGAAATACCTACCTTCAACTCTGACAAGTAAATGTATCATCACAAAATATCCATCATGCCAGAAGACAGCTTCATTCTTTTGCTAAGGACCAGTTCAGTTGGTTTGGGAGACTTCAAACCCTTGTGCACACCGCAAAGGTCCATGTAGTAATTGTCCTCATATTTTGAAAATCAATGTACATTATCCTAACGAAGCCCAGGACTTTGCAGGCGGTTACTGACACGTTGATTCCTGTCACCCTTCCTTTCACTCGGTGCAAGGTCAGCCCAAGGTGAACCAATGGCTGTGAGCTAAGGTGCTGCTAAAGGACTTCTCATCTTCTCAAAGAGCACAAGGCTGGTCTGACGCTTGGCCAGTTCTTGAGAATTAGTTAGAAAATTAGTATTAAAACTAATAACACTTATTGTGGAGTGTATCATTCCTTGCTGAGATGTAAAATCCTGATTTGATGAATACTCCCATGACAATAAGTTCTCCCTTACAATGCCCAATCATTCTGCCCACTGTCCAGCACCCTCAAACCACTCACACGCATCAGCTCCTGGGGCTGAGCCTGATTCTTTTTCTTCACGTCTTCTAAAGCGAGTATAAAGAGCAGCCAGCTTGGCGGTACATGACAGCAGACGACAGCACCTTCGCCACACACTGGCCAGGCTCAGAGCTGCCACACAGCCCAGCTCTGGCCTGTCACCTGCACGGCATCTCAGTCCAGTACAGGCCAGAGTTTTAGTAGCTGTGATAGTACAGGCTGCCGAAGGTCGCCGCCATCTGCTTATCTGACCCGGGAGTGGACAGACCAGTTTCAGAATCCCACCCTGCATGTTTGCTTCCTAGGGCTACCGGTGGCTCTAATGCGAGGCACAGCCTGAAATTAGGACATGGGTACCGGTGATTTATTTCAGTAGTGATCCCAGCCAGAACACAAGGCACAGGGAAGAATGACCAGGCCAGGCGTAGTGGTGCACGCCTGTCATCCCAACACTCGGGAGGCTGAGGCAAGAGGATCACTGTGAGTCTGAGGCCAGCCTGGGATACAAAGTGAGTTCAAGGCCAGTCTGAATTGCATAGCAAGATCCTGTCTCAAAAAAACAAAAAAAAAAAGAATGACCTATATATGGTCCACAGTTAAGGCCAATGCTCTAGGCAACAGGGACTTTTCCCACCATAATCTCTAAAGAGTGTACAGAAAGCACCTAAAGTTGTCTTTCTGAAGGGAGGGTGCTCGGGCATGCATCCACCAGCTCTGGTCCCTCGCTGAGGATCATAGCTGCGCACACAACCCCCCCACACCTCCCAACTGTACATACGTGAGCATCGCGTGCATGGTGGTCGCCATTGGCCCACGGCGAGGAGAACAAAGCACAGAGGTGCCTCTGGAGGGGTGGTGTCTGTGCGCACCGGCCTCACTCGGAACTGCGCACCGTACGAATGGGCCGGGAGGCTCTGACACGGCACCGGCACCACCTGCCACACTCACTCTACAGACTCGGGCAGCCCCAACTTACCTGAGCCTCACAGAGCCATCTGAGGGTTCAGTTCGCCAGCGAACCAAGTGTCCGGTCCACCGTCCAGTTTAGCTAAGGCATGCCAAGGCTGACACCACTGCGTTCTTTATCTCACCCTTGAGTTATGTTCCTCCTAGGGCTCGTGCCTAGGTCCACGGCCACTTTGAGTTCAGTGAGGAAGAGAAAAAAGTGAGGGAAAAGTTCAGGGGAAAGTAAGGGGATTAGTAGTAAGGGGAAAGGCCAATTCCACACTTACCCTATAGCCTTGTTGCCACTGTAGCTTTATAATAAGTATTGGGATGAAGCAGGGAGGGGCCAAGTGTCCCAACTTTATCTTCTTTATCTTGTTTTTTAATAGATTTTAAGGCTAATTTTCAATTAACAGACAAACGAGGAGGACGACAAGAAGTGAATACGAGGCCCACACCTAGTTCCCTCTGTTACTAATGTCTTACATGAGCATGATACACCCGTTACAATCAATGAATCCGTGATAACACACGATTAGTAGCTATTATGAAGGTCCACAGTTTGTTCAGATGACCTTCACATCCTTTTTATGCTCCAGAACCTCATCCAGAAAACTACATTGCTTTTGAAACTTTTTTTTGTACTGGGAATCGAACTCAGGACCTTGCGCTTGCCAGGCAGATGCTTGTATCCCCGGCCCTACATCTTTTTTAGTTGGCCTTTCTCCTTATGTGGATGTGACCATTTTCAGGATTTCCTTGTGTTTGATGAGTCCATCAGTTTTGAAAATTACTGGCTGAGGACTTTGTAGGGCACCCTTCTGCTGCATGTCTCCTGACGCTCTTCCCGTGATTACACAGGGCTGTCACGAGTTCAGCAGAAGACTGCAGAGGTGAAATGTCACTTCGCTGTATCCTGTCAAGGGCGGGTATTTTCCACGCGGTATCACTGTGGATGTTGACTCTGATCACCTGCCGAAGGGAGCGTTTGCCAGGTCACTGTAAAGTTACTCTTTGAAGACAAGACTGCACAGTTCACACTTCAGGACTGAAGCGTTAGGCTCCCTCTCCGTGAGGGCAGAGGATCTACTTACTTAGGATGCTTCTGCACAGGCGATTTGTCTATTCTCCCCTAGCTATTTATCTTTTCAATCATTTACTTAAATCAGTGTGAACCCACAGACATTTACTCCACGCCTGAGTTATGACCCAACACAATCTGCTATCCAAACTGCTCAGCCTTTCACTGCTGACAGCTGTCAGCTGGCCTCTGCGCCTTTGACACACACGTGTGATGGTTTGGGTCCTAAATGTTCCCTAAAGACCATGTGTCGGAGGCCTGGTCTCCAGGTGACGGTACCCTTGGGAGACAGTGGAACCTTTAGGAGGCAGGACCCAGTGCAAGGAAGCAAGATCATGGGGCCGGGGTGCCCTTGGAGGGGATGTTGGGGCCCCAGCCCCTTGCTCTCTCCTCTTGCAGCTGCTGTGGGTGAACTGGGCTCCTCTAGCAAGCCATGCTGCTTCCCTGGTGTACCGTACCGCCACGGGCTCAAAGCAACAAGACCGTGCAACCATGGGCTGAAACCTCTAAAGCTATGAGCCAAAATAAAAATTCTCTTCGGTTCTTTGTTTTGTTTTGTTTTTTGAGGTCTTTCTGTGTAGGTCAAACTCGTCTTGAATTCACTGTGTAGTCGATCAGCCATGAACTCATAGTGATTCTCCTGCCTCAGCCTCCAGAGTGATAGGATTACAGGCATGCGCCACCACCCCTGGCAATCTTCCCTTCAAGTTGATCTTCTGAGGCATTTTGTCCCAGCAACAGAATGCAGACTAATACAACCCAGGAATATTCTTGCTTTGCTTTTGCCTTACTTTCTGGCACCATGCAGTGCCCCAGGCCCATCCTGTGGTCTTTCCTGCCCCAATCCTAGAGTCAGCAATGTGTCCAAGGGTCTCTGATTCACTGTATTACAGAATGGTGTAAAAACCAACACCCTTCCATAATATTTTCTAATTGTCTTTAATAATACATGTTAATATGTGTATCTGTGGGATCTGAGCATCATCTTATTTTATTCTTGAAATTTGTAATTTGGGTCTTCTTTCATTTGTTCTTGATCAACTAACTAAAGGTTTACAAATTTTATTGATTTCTCTTAAGAATTATCAACTTTTGTTTCAGTAGTTTTTATCAGCTATTTGTCCATTTTTTTAACCATCAATTTCTGCTTTTTTGTAGTCCTGTTTCCCTTGGGTTTAACTCATTTTTTCTTTCTTCTTTTTTTTTTTTTTTTTTCTTTCTTCTAGTAGAAACTTAAGATTGTGGATTAAGCAAAAAAAGATTGTGGACTTTAAGATTTTCTTTTCTATTTATAAAAAAGGCACCACATTTTCCTCTATATAAGAACTGTTGGACAGAATTATCAAATCAGGCATGATGGCACACACCTGTAATTCCAGCACTCTGGAGGTTGAGGCAGGAGGATCACCACAAGTTAGACGCCAGCCTGGGCTACATAGTGAGTTCAAGGCCAGCCTGAACTACATAGCAAGACTATCTCAGAAAACAAGCAAAAACAAAAAATTCACCAATGATGGGAACGTTTCCTTTGTGCTGCCTGGTACCATAGCCCTTAGCAACATGTGACTACCGAGCACTAGGATACGACTAAAGAACTGAATTTTCTAACCTTTAAATTTAAGAGCCACATATAGCTAGTGCACACTCTACTTGACAAAATAACCCCAAACATGGTTCTACTGTGTATCGTGCTTTGCACGTTTTATTTTCATTTAATTTCTTTCTTTTTTTTTTTTGGTACCAAGAATCGAACTCAGTGCCTCACACTTGCCAGGCAGGTGCAGTGCTGCTGAGCTACATCTCTGGCTTCATTTCATTTCTGATAAAATTGTTTTCTAATTGTTCTTATATATGACTTAATTTCTAAATGTTCAGGGAGTTCTGAGATAACTTCTGGATATCAATTTTTCAATTTAATGTAAGTTACTAAAAGTATTTTCTATAACTTGTATATATGTATATATCTTTAAACATACTGAGACTTCTTCTATGACACAACATAACTTTTTTAGGCCTGTGCACTTGGAAAAATGTGTAAACCTTGTATGTGTAGTGTAAATATCAGGTAGACCAGGAGGTTGTTACTGCTATTCACACTTCTATGCCTAGGTTGATGTTGTTCTAATTCTTCTATCAATTGCTTCGAAAGGAATGTTGAACTCTCCAATGGTTGTGGAAATGTCTACTCTTCCCTTTAATTCTTTTCAAAATTCTTCACTGATCGCTCAATAATATGTATAGTGTTTACAGGTTTGAGAAGCCATCACTCAGCTGTGGTCTTTCATAGCTGTTTCTCTCAGCACGGTTTTTCAAGACTCATCCGCATCGCAGCATGTATCAGCCTTTCGTTTCTCTGTACTGCTCACTAGTATTTCAGTGTAT